CCAGCTTGGGACTCGCTTGAGAGGTTTTCAGTAGTTTCTTGGCATTCTTGGCTATACCAGTTCTGGATGCACGTGGCATGTTCTTTCGTCCGGATACTCTTCGTTCGAAGCATAAGGCCTTGAGCATCCAAGCTTCGGTCTGTGGTAGTTTTGGACTGGGGGATTACGGCTCGCCTGTATGGCAACACTGCGCATACATCATCTTCGTCCGGGTGGCTGAGGATTGAGGGCTTAGAGGCTTAGAGAGCATGGCTATGAGACCGTGTGCTTCCGGAAGCCCGTGTTCCTCGTCACGGGAGATGGCGCACGTTGCAACCGCGACGAAGCTTATATCGGTTGCTGCTAATGTGATCTGACCGGAAGACGGTTCGTCCTGCTTCAGCTGGGTGCAAGTAAGTGATGCTGTCTTGCTCGAAACCACTTAGTAATGCGAGCTAGCACGTAGAGACAGAAATCCACGATTGCCATCTAGGCTTTAAAATCTACGGGCCCTGGCCCGCCCTGGCGCACATCAGTTCGTTGACACCAACATGAACCTCAACCCTCCAAGCAAGTTGTTAGAGCCCAGACCTGGACCGAAAGCCCCGACAGCGAGTGCGCACGTTCTGGAGCTACACATGCTTGGGTATTGACTGGTTGGGGTCAGAGGCCTTGAAGTATTGAAGCTCCATGAACTTCCCCCCTACGTAGCACAGGCATGCGCAGTTGCTCAGAACTCGTTCTGTGGTCGCAAAGCAGGAGGAACGATTGTGTTCCGGCTTCCAGTCTGTACGGCTTATTTTGCGTTCAGACAAGATTCTCACAGAGACACGTTACTTCGATGCGAAAAGTGTGCGCTCTTGGCGTTTGGTGGCGCAGGGTCAGACATTGCGGTGGCATATGACCGCGCCATGACATAAGGAACTATACTCCAGTTGCACCGCCGACCACTGGCCCCCCGGATCGGGAAGCCCCGACCCTGTCGAGTACAATGCATGCAGCTGGCAAGCCTGGGATTCCTGCATGCTTGGGCTCAGCACTCAGCAGCACGTAGCCTGTGAACTCCGCTTTTCATTCCAGAGTCCGAGATCTTGCCGCTTATCTGCACCAACAAGGATCTCAAACGCGAGCTGCTCGAGCACAAGGGCGAGCATGGACGTTCTTGTTTGCAAATTTGCCAGTCACGGTCGCCTGTCGTGGCTGTCCCGTAGTAGCAGCAGCCGCAGCGCTTACCTTCGGATTGAGACACAAACGTGCAAGTCACCGTCAAAGCTATAGTCATCACGACAATCCTCATCTCATTCCGTGTCGGCATCCATCCTGCTTGTCGTACGCAGCCTGCAACATCTAGGTCACAGTTAAGAAGAAGCAATAGCTGACTCGATCGCAGAGCAGCGGGCGCGATCCTGTCCCACGAATAGTCGAAGCTGAGTGGGAATCTTCAGGAATGCCACGCAGGGTTGCAGTCTCCAGGCAAGTTCTCAACTCAGAGTTTCGGGACATACCTTGATGTCTATGGAGATCTAGGGTAGGGTAGGATTGTGCGTGCACGGGGTGCATAGTTTTGGGTGCAGATAGCGGGCCCTGGACATAAACAACACAGGTGCACTCATGCGTCTGGTGTTGCTCAGCCTCGCCGCGATCCTTGCGTCAGCCGTGCGTGAGGCCTTTTTTTCATGCATTCGTTGTCGACATAGTTGTTCATGATGAATTGGGGCTTAACATCGAGTCATTCAAAGGCAAGAAATCCAATTATTCCTTGTCCTTTGGGTTTCGGGATTGTGGGCTTAGAACCCCAGCGCCGAGCGGCTTCGGTTTCGCTATGTGTGTGGGCGGACCCTGACAGCAGGGCTCTCAGACGCTGCAGGTATCAGGGAGGGACGACCCACAGAAGAAGAATTCCGGTAATCTCGTGAGGCTGAAGTGTACTGTTGGGTGTTCAGCTGTGAAGCCTCGTAAGAAGACTAGACTTTCGTGCGTTGTTTAGACCGATACGACCCGGTCACAGCCCTGCGGGAATGCGGACATGCTGGCAGCGACTTGGGCTGTTTCCCGTTTATTTTTTCGTTTCAAGGGCGGGGCTCTGCACAACCCTGAAGTCACGAGTACCTAGGCATGAGGCGATGGTTTTTCTTGGACATGTCAGCTTATTTTGTAGAGTCTGAAGCCGGTTTGACAGTTTAACATACAGCACCGCATGCTCCAAGCCAAGCTTGCGGAAGCTGTTCCCCGACTCCCGTACAGACATCCAATAGGCCTTGCGGGGTTGCGTTGAGATATGTTGAGGGCGCGCGACGGAGCTGCATCGGCGTGGTCCTGACCCAAAGTCCAACGCTGCAACCAATATGAAAATGACCCTGAGCATCAGAGCCATCCACGTCAGGAAAGGAGTTTCAGCGGAGTGTCACAAGGAGCTTTGCCAGAGCTACGGCGCACGCAGACGGAGAGCAGGGTGTGCCAAGCTCCCGAGGGACGATACGCCCCTTGTAAACCCACATGCCAACAGGCTGTAACAGGCTGTTCTGTCGAACGTTTTCTCGAACGAGGCCTGTCAGCGCAAGGTATCAAAGATGCATTGGTCACGATGCCCTGCCGCCGGTGCCGTGCACAGGAAAGCAGATCACGCAGTAAGGTGCAAACTTCGGCGCCCACAGTCAGTGATCAGATTGTTGGCGACAGCAGCCGGGAAAACGTTGAGGAATACTGTCGGCTGCACTCTGGGTCGACACAAGGCCTGTGTGCTGAGACCTCCAGATGCTAAATCAAGGTATTGGCATTTGCGTGGTCCTGCCTTGGGTTCCTCGCCGAGACGAAAGCCAAGGCTTTGCGCCCGTGTGGCGGATTCGGGCAAAGGGCTAATGTGCTCACACCTACTACGTGCAAGGCGCGCCCCGCGAAGTGGATGCACGACCACAATAGACCGAGGGGGACCGCCGCCAAGAAGAAGCGCAAGACGTCCCGAAGGGCCGAACCGCATCACCGCAGCCGAGCGGGCACGGGACTGTGGGAGAACGAGTGAAAAGATTAGACCCCCCTGAAACCAAACGTCTAAAAGCCCTTCCAACGCTGAAGCCCTTAACTGCAATGAGCTTCCCATATGTGGAGCCCCTCAGGCTGAGAAGTTGGAGGCGGTACAAAAAGACCTGGCATTGGATGTCGGCTCCGCTACCCGGATGACCGTGGGGCTGGGAGGTGTGAGGGCTTACGGGCTGAAGCCTATGTATTCTGGGTTTCGGGTGCTTCAGGCTTGACAGTTCGGCGCCCACATTCAGGCTTCAAAGTTAGGGCAGTCAGGGCTTTAAGTCTTTGAGAGTTTGGGGCCGGATTAACCTGAGAGCCTCTTCAAGCCCGTGTGGACGATAATTCGAGTGAGGCTTGAGGGCGCAGCTGACCTTTTCGGTTGGATTTCGGGGGCAAGCTGATGCTGCGACTGGGATTCCGGTTTCGAGACACGTAGACGGATTGTTTCAGGCGAACGGGGCATCCAGGTCAAGGCGAAGCCCGATTCGTCGCTTCGAAGTCGTGCTCGGCTGAAACTGCGAGCCGAAGCATTAAGCCGACATGCGATATGTCCCCCTCACAAGAAGAGTGCATGAAGAGTTATCTGAGTTATCTCCTGCTCCCATGCTGAAGCGAAGTCCTATGATCCCAAGATCGAGTGCCTGTGCCTGCCGAGGCTTCGAAAAAGGAGACCTCGCAGCCGTCACGATACCTTCCTGATCACTACCAGCTCCTAAATGCCGCAACCTTGGACTCGCAAGCGTATGTCAAAAGAATCCAGGTGGTCGCTGAAGTTGGTTTTGAATTCCCCAGATCAAGAGCTACAGGATCATATCGTCAAAAACCGTAATGGCTCATGGCATTTGCGCACAGTCCCTGGCAGCGGATCCTCAAAACACATTCGAGTTCAGAGCAACAACCTCGGACGTCAAGGGGTTTATCGTGGGAGCCGCTCCCCAACTCAACAGCTGGGTGGGCTCTGGCTCTTGAAACAGGAAATGCAAAACCGAGCAAAATCCTAGCCGAGGGATCGGTCGGTCAAGGTAGGTCAGACCAGAGATTGCCAAGCTCTAACAGGTTCGACTTCTTCAGCCTGGCCTATTCGAGTCATGAAAGAGCCAAGAAGATTTTTGGGGGAGTTGCGGAAGTGTGAAAGCCCAGCAGCCCAACCCCTGCACCTTAACCTCGCGTCCGCAGCGTCCGTTTGGAGGCTTGGAAGCTTGGGATTCGGGGCTGAGACTGCCAAGTCTTTGGCCTGGCATTTTAAGATTTGGATTCGAGGAGAAGCTGATAATCGAGAATGGGGGCAGCTGCCAGCGGTGCATGTCCATGTCGAGTCTTGGTGCAAAGGCCGACACACATGTCGGATCGAAAGGTTTGTTGTTCAACCCTTGAAAACCGACCGATGCCCTTTGCAAAGGGGACGGCCTTCTGACCCCAAACCGTTGTTGAGACAGCCAGATATTGGAAGGCTGAGGCCTGCAAGTTGCTCAGGGCTTCGCGGCCGCCATCTTTGCCGCGAGAGTTCCGCGACGTGAGCTTCGGGGGGGGGGGGGCCAGGAGCTCCAGGGCTGATGATTCGCCTGGCGACGACATGCTGCTAAGCAGCCGTGTTGACGATTGGCACCTTCAGGCTTGAACTTGAAGTTGCGGAGTGTGACGACTGGTGACGGCATGCCACAAGGGCGCATAACTGCATCAAAACAGCGGTCGCTCAACGGCATCACATCATGGCCAAAACCACCGAAAACACAGGCGATCCCACAAGCACGAAATCATCAGATTGATATCTCCATGCGAAGAAAAGAAAATTTAACGCGACGATGGTACAACTCTGATGTATACGGGTCGCTTTTCAAAGCAGCCCTAGACCCAAACCCCGGTGAACCCTGGCAAAGTTAGCCTCCAACCCGTATCCTGGATCCTCAAGGCTTAGAGTGAAAACAAGCCCCGAGCCTTTGAAGTTCTGAAGTTGCCCAAGTTCGCTCCGAAAGGTCAGCCGATTCGCATCCGTGGCGGAGATGAAGAAGTCTTATCACCAGCTGGCCAAGAAGTACCATCCGGAGCTGATCTGTGAGGGTTGTGGGTTGGTTAAGGGGTCAGGGAATGGAGTTGAGGTCGAGGTTGTGACTGGACCCACTGGTTGTTCTTATCTTTGTCCTATATACCCCCTGCTGTTGCACGAGCAGTGCTGGGGGTTGGGATCCTGGTAGCGCTTACAGTTTTGGATTCACTGTCTCGCCAGCTTTGGGCTTTCAAGGGGAGGTGAAGGTCCAAAGTTACGTACTCGATGACCGGGCGCTGTGTCCACAAGAGCTTGGGAGCATACAGCTCCGGGGCACGCTCAGTGTCTAGAGCCAAGAGTTACCAGCAGGTCCATACCCAGGGACTTCAACAAATGGAACAGGGTTTGTCGCGACAAGTTCTGCTGCTTACGTATGTTAGGGTTTGAGTTTGTTCAGCCCTGTCGGTGGATTGGATTGTATTCTCAATGTATCGAAAGTCTTGGGTGGTGCCATCTCAATTCTTTCATTACGAACCCCGAGCCTGAAAGTAAGATTCCCCACGAAACGTTTTCACGTGCTTATTAACCCTATACCCAAACCCCTTAATCAGTTAACATCGGAATCCCCAAGAGGACCGCAACTTCGGCAACGAAGGAGAAGCTGAGGTGCCTCCAGCTGAATGGTTTCAGGATTTCAGCCAACAAAGGAAAGACGGTTGAGAACTATTGCTGTTTTCGGGGGTGTTGTTTGAAGAAGCTGATTGAAGTTGCATCGAAGGCTTTGAGCTTGGAAGAAGGGGGTGTCAGCCAGACCTCAAATTTTGCTTCGCCATCCGGGTAAGACAATGGGGGTTGGATATGTTTTGCGCGGCATTGTTTGCAAATCGAGCGGTGAGACGTACCCACTTACTACAGAGTAGGAACCTGCAACACTTGCGTTCAGGGCGGAGGTATTGCTCAGACTTCCTGCAAAGCGCACCCGCGGTTCTGCGGCTCCTGCTGTGGCGCGGTGCACGTGTTGGACGAAAAACCCGCGAGATTTCCAAAGTCCCTCTCAGGCCCCATCCCCGTTGCTGCGAACGCCTGACTCATTCTGCACTGACATGCGCCTCATTGCCTCATCAAGCTTCAATCTGGCCTCCAGGTCGCCCCCAGACGGCCTTTTTCGGGCTCTTCCGAGTGATCCTCTAAATCCGGCCAGTTCAGTGCCTTCAAAAAGCTAGTGCCTCAAGTCCCAGCAGGGCCGAAATACGAGGCTCCTCGGTTCGAGTGGGCTCCTATTCCTCGCCAGCACATGGAATAAAAGTTTGAAAATAGTGCCTTTAATCCTGCCTCACGGTTCGATGGGAGTTTTGGTGGTCATGGTTGTTTTGGTCGTCTTGTGGTCCAGGTCGTGCTTGTCGTGCTTCAGACTCGTTGTGGCGAACATGGTGTTTGTTCCGCTGTTTCGGGATCGACTCTGGCAGAAGAAGGTCCCGCTAACAGCGGACCCCTCACTGCTAGAAACGGCTATGCTGCTTTGCGTTCCTGGTCCTAGGTAGAAGGAACTTTCGAACATGGCAGGCGAAGTTCAAAGATCTCGAAGCCGCCTTCGACGCTCGGGCAGCAGTTTGCAGCTTCGTGAGTTTTCAATACAGCTCCCTAGATTCATCTCGAGCACCGTCACAATCGGACGTCGATTTCTAGTTCTAGCATCCAGTATAGCTCAAGAACTCAAGCTTTTGGATAGTCCAGCAGCTGGGAACCCGCAACGTCTACCCTTTGCGTGCAGCGCCTTGACGTAGTTGAAAGAGCACCGCCGATAGCTTCGTGAGCTTTGATCTTGAGGCTATCCTCGGTGACGCCGCGAAGCGGGAAGCGTACGACTCGTCGCACCCCGAAGCAGGAACCGAACCGTACAATCCTTGCCCCACGGCTCAATCTGGATAAAGCTTCGAGGAATTCGGACAGTTTTGCAGTGCTCTGAACTTTGAGCATGATCATTTCCCTTAGCGCAGGTGGCTTAAACAGAAAGGAAACACACTGGTGCATAGAGATTTCCTGCAGAGCCCCGCAGCTCAGTTGCCAAACCCTCGGAGCATCATCCGGGCTTGAAGTCCGGAGCGTTTCTGAATCTTCAGTGGTTCAAGCCAAGGCCAGCAAGAGACCTATTCCAAAACAGTCCCCTCCGAAGCGCCCCGCGGCATCTTGAGATGCCTCAGCGAGGGAGCCGTTTGTCCAAGTTGCTTGACCCCAGGTGCGGCCGTCGCGTGCCCAAAGCATGCCAGATGCAAGCAGAACCAGCTGGATGAGCCCTACTGTAAGTGAGCCTTGGCTTGGACCTGCCGAGGGCTTGAGGGGCCATAGGGGTAAAGGTCACGAGTCCTAGATACGCTACCAACAGCAAGCTCCAGCTTCTAATCCTTGCATCTAGCGAGACGGAAAATGGATGTTTAAAGGAATCCTTGCATCTGGAAATGCCAGCCACTGGCCCACCGTAACCGCAGTCTTTCGCCCAACCCATCCATGGCTCAAGACCTCTGTGGTTTTACAATCGCGTTCGGATGAATACTTTGGGGTTCTCGGAATGAACGATCGGGGCTTCAAGCTTCGTTTCCCACAGTTGGCAAGGAAGAGGGGCAAGTTGATGTACGGTCTGGCACTGGTCTCCATCGCGACAGCACATGGACACGCCACGTGTGTGTTTTCACGGTTCAAGCCGCGGGCCATGCGCATGTGAGGCGATCCGTCTGTTTAGGCCTTAAGGTCTCGGCGATTAGGTTTTAAGATCGCCCTGGCCTCGGAGATTTCTGGAAACCCTGCGAGTGAAGTAAAGAAAAGCCAAAGCCCGAAGATGTGATGCGCAAGAGCCTGACAGACGGATGCTGTGCAAGGACTGAACTATAACCCTGAGGAAGTAGGAACTACTTCATTGATTGCACAATGTTGATATCACATACACTTGTATTGCAACACGTAATGACTTAGCGCTATAGCTTTGTAAAGATACAGAATACAGAAACGGCGTCCTGATATGTCGCATACAAATTTTGTTCATGTCGATGAAGTCTTTGCACTTTCTGGGGATCATGCTTGTCAGCAGCTTTCATACTGCAAGCCCAAGCACAAGACGTACAACAAATCAACCGAGGCTTAGAGCTACAAGTTTGTCGTTTGTGGGCGCTTGGACAATGAATCGCTGACGACGACATTGTAGCTTCATTTCAATCTTTCAACCACCTCCTTAGGCGTTTGACTCCCAAGTGGTGCGGCCGGATTTCTGCGTCAGAAGGCAGCCAAGAGCCTTCCCCAACCGATTTCGTATCATCAGAGTCAGCCTAGGCAAAAGGCGTTACACCCTTTCCAAGAACGAGTGACGCTTGGCTATTGGTGTGTGTCTTATCCATGGCCCTTTCGGGCTGTGAGTTGCACAGCTGTACACGCGGATCCACAGGCAAGGGGAATCTGTGAAGTGTTGGGATGCCTTTTGCTTCTGTTCTCCGGGGCGCACGAAGGATTCGAAGCGCATATTCCGAATCGCAGAGTCTGAACGGTTTACGGCTCATGCACCCTGCACCTTGAATTGACACAGTGTAGACCTAGGCTTAACGAAGCTCCAGCGGACGGTCTCCACCGCATGCTGCATGGAGGAGGCGGGTCAGTACTAAATTCGTACTGCAGCACGACTGATACAAGTATTTCCTTCTACGGGAGCGCAGACTAAGAAAGAGACATAGGCTCGGATCGAGACAACGCGCTTAGGCAACATCTAGACCTGCAACAGAAGTATAGCCGATGACAAGGTTAGCCATGTTAGCTCTCATCGTCAGAGCAAGCTTTGCGATGGCGGAGGGCTGTCAGGTGATCGGAGGCACAGGTGTTGTCGAGCGCCCAGGGTTTGCGAAATGCATTATTCGAGACGGGTGTTGCTGAAGACACAATGCTTGACAGTCTTGCCATCATGATTCCGGTTTTTATGAAAATCGCGATGGCTACTTCACTAACGCGGTTTTGCCTTTATCAGCTCAAAAAGTGTTGAGATTGTGGTTATTGGTGCCATTCTCATGATTTTCGTGCTTTATGCTTTCGAGCACTCCTCGGTTTGCTCTTACTCGTGTGATCGGTTTCGCTACATTGTTGGCGTTGTCATCATCGCCCACACTTTCTTCCTTCGCAATATGCTTGCTCATGTATCCAGCGTTGTTAGCGTCACTGGTTACCAGTTGTATCAATGACATAGAGATAGTAGTCGTCGTCGAGGATCGTCGTCGTGGTTAATGTTACGACGTCTTCCGTTACAGCATGATTTGAGTGCTGGGAGACCTTAACGAGCCTGGCGTAAACTCTGGAGATTCTAGAGCCCTAAGCCCTAAGCCGCTTAGACCTCGCAGGATTTAGTGCAGCCCAGAACATCAAGGCAGTGAGTCCCTACTATTTTGGGCGGGGGGCGGCCTGTAACAGGCACACATCCCAAATCCGTGCTAATCAACAACAGCTGCAATGATGGTAACTAAGACGATTGGTAGGAACACTGGTGATAGCAGCAGCAACAGTCAGAAAGGAGGGCAGCAACAGTCAGAAAGAAGGTCATGTCTGACGAACATAGCAGTCGTAACAGTAGCAACACAAAGGCATGTGAAGATAGCAATAATGACCACACTCACAATCTGTCCCCAGAGACAGGATGAAAAACTCTGGTTGGTTCCTCCGGCGGCTTGGCGGGCACAACGGGCACAACAGAGCCTTTTTGTGACTGCAAGCATGCTCTGGCTCATACTTTTCGGTGGTTCCCTGCAACTATTCATCAAACGAGAGCTGTTCTTGAAACTCCGTACGCCGTACCCGCTGACGCACAGATGGAAGGCAGCTGCTTGAAATACAAAGGAAGGAAGTTGGTTGGTTCTGACCAACCTCCAAGACATTTGCCATTCGACAGAATCCCTCACAGAATGTTGACTGTTTGGGTTTTACAGCCGAGGAATACCTGCCAGGCGAGACGAACGAGATTGACCTCAGCAAAGTTGACTGTCCAGGCCTTCTTCTGTCTTGACGCCTCTGGGAGATGTGAGACGCAGCGATAGTCCGATCGGGCCCTTCGCCAATGTAATTCTTTGTAAAGAAAGGCACCAAACTGGATCCCAATACGCATAGTGCTTCTCTTGTTCTTGTAGCTATAGTATTGGCATGACGGGACGATGAAGCCCATGGCTGCCTCTGCGCTTGACTACGGGAGTACATCATGCAGCCTCTCCCATGGTCAGGGTGCAGGATTTCTTGCTTGGTATGTAAATGATTGTGGACTTTCCGATTGAACCCTTGCAAACCACTCTCAGCATGCCCTTTTAGCAACTGCGTTTCAAGACGCGACTGGTCCCTCACTGATCGCATTGTGTGTTGTTGACCCCGGGCAACCTGCCATCATCGAAGCTAAAGAGAACCCAACAGTTTGCTTGAGTCGCTTTTGTTGGATACTTGTACCTTTCCTGTGTCAAGCAGTGGACAGCTTCTGAATTCTTGTACTCGCTTCGTTCGTTTACACCTTCACACGGTGCAGGCACGATGAAAAAGGTCGACAAGGGAGAATGCATGGCGGGCGCTGGTGCAGAAGAATACTCTGAGTGATTCCGACAGGCTCACGAAAAAGCGACTTCCAGAAGGTCGGCTCGGTTGGTTATATGATGTTAAGTTGATAGCATTACAGATATACTATAGATATACTACTGCTGATGGCTCTTCATGTAGGAGTCACGGAGTAAAAGTATGTTACTGGTTCAACTTATCCAAACAACGGAGGGTCAGAATGTGATAAAACACACCCCGAGCACCAACAAGGATCAACCTAGAGGGTCCAAAGCATTCATTGGTATTTGGCTATATACCTTTAATACAAAAAGAAGTACTCAAGTATTCAGATTCGAAAGAGAAATCCGGCAGACTTGAGATTGAAGTATCTATGGTATAAGTTTCAGATACTGGTCCCTCATACTTAGTCTATCTCGAGAATGGTGTGAACAATTTTTGTATGAAGCTAGTAGCTAGAAAGAATATGTTGTATTAGTTGCGATCCATATTTGAGAAATGTATTAATCAAACGGATTCTAAAGGCTATTGCAGGGAGAGGAGATTCCGAAAATATTGATAAATGATATTTCTTGTCTTGTTTAACAGTTCTTCGCTTTTGTTGTGATTGTAGTTGCTGTTGTTGTTCTGTGTGGGTAGAGTGGTATCTCTTTGGTCTCAATAGTTCATTTAGAATTTTCTAAGTTTAGGTCTGATTTTCTGATTGTTCTTGAGGTGTGTTATTCTTTGGGTTCAAATCAAAAAGATTACGGTAGTTGACGAAATTGAATGAACTCTGCGATCTAGAATGGAATTAGTTCTCTAATTCTAACGCTACGCGGCTCGCCTCGGCTGGCGACGCTAGTAGTGCCAGCAGCGGCGGATTGCAAGCAGCAGTAGCAGGCACAGAAGGAATACAGCGATTGGCAGCATATGGTATATTCGAAGAGGGCTCGGAAGGCTGGCAGAAGCAGGAGAAGTGCAAAAGTGAGAATAGGGCAGGAAGGGGAAAGGAGAATCGAAGGAGAAGAGCAATGGAAAAAACGCGCGAGCGAAAGCAGCGGGAAGATTGAAAAGTGGCGGGGGGAGATAGAAAAGTTGCAAAAGATGGACAAAGAAAAGAAGGAAGTGGGGTAGAAAGAAGGGGAGCAAGGAAAAGGAGGGAGCTTGGGGCAGGAAAGCTGCGGGAAGGGTGCCGGCTCGGGGGATTAGGTGGAGGGTTACTTAGTATAAATCATCAAAACGCCAGAGGCCTTTGGCCTCGGCGGATTAAACGGTCTCGTGCTGGTAGCCCATAATTTGATCTTTTGCCGCGGTTCTTCGTGAAATCCTCTTGTATGATCGTCTCGTATTTTGTAGTGTCGCGAGCGTTTTTCTCCCGGCATTAGAATCCCGAAGATTGTGGTAGAAGAAAATTCTAAATTTCCGTAGCTTTAAGGGGATATTCTCGCTGTAAAAAGATTCTATAGATTTTTGGCGGAGGTGCTAGTGTTTGTTGAATGGTGTCCGGTTCCGGTCCGTTTCGTGTTTGGATTCGTTTGTCGTATTTGGGTACGTGTATGGTGTCTGGTTCGTGACCGGCTCTGGTTCGCACTCGATTCGTCTTTGGTTCGTATCTGCTTGGTGTTTGATTCGTATTTCTATTAATATCTATATTTGGGAGACGTAATCTTAAAGATAAGATTCTCTGTTTAGAATTATGCGGTCTGTTTCGTGTTTGGATTCGTGGGTCGTATTTGGGTTAGTATTTGGGTTCGTGTATCGGTT